GAGGGTAAGTTTAGAAGATAGGATACACAAAGAACAAGTTAAAAATCACTTAGGAAAGTTAGATGTCAGCAAGTCACCAGGTCCTGATGAAATGCATCCCAGGATACTCAAGGAGCTGATAGAGGAGGTATCTGAGCCTTTAGCTATGATCTTTGAAAAATCATGGCAGACAGGGGAGATTCCAGAAGACTGGAAAAGGGCAAATATTGTGCCCATCTATAAAAAGGGGAATAAGAACAACCCAGGAAATTATAGACCGGTCAGTTTAACGTCTGTCCCAGGGAAGATAATGGAGCAGGTAATTAAGGAAATCATATGCAAACACTTGGAAGGTAATAAAGTGATAGGGAATAGCCAGCATGGGTTTGTGAAGAACAAGTCATGCCAAACTAATCTGATAGCTTTCTTTGATAGGATAACGAGCCTTGTGGATAAGGGAGAAGCGGTGGATGTCATATACCTAGACTTTAGTAAGGCATTTGATACGGTCTCGCATGATATTCTTATTGATAAACTAGGCAAATATAACTTAGATAGGGCCACGATAAGGTGGGTGCATAATTGGCTGGATAACCGTAGTCAGAGAGTTGTTGTTAACGGTTCTAAATCCTGCTGGAAAGGGATAACAAGTGGAGTTCCTCAAGGGTCTGTTTTGGGACCCGTACTGTTCAATATCTTCATCAATGATGTAGATATTGGGATAGAGAGTACTCTTATTAAGTTTGCAGATGATACCAAACTGGGTGGGGTTGCAACTTCTTTGGAGGATAGGGACATAATTCAAAATGACCTTAGCAAGTTAGAGAAATGGTCAGAGGTAAACAGGATGAGGTTTAATAAGGAGAAATGCAGAGTGCTCCACTTAGGAAGGAACAATCAGTTCCATACATACAAGATGGGAAGCGACTGTCTAGGAAGGAGCATGGCGGAAAGGGATCTAGGGGTCATAGTGGACCACAAGTTGAATATGAGTCAACAGTGTGATGCTGTTGCCAAAAAAGCAAATATGATTCTAGGTTGTATTAACAGGTGTGTTGTAAGCAAAACTCGTGAAGTCATTCTGCCGCTCTACTCTGCGCTAGTTAGGCCTCAGCTGGAGTACTGTGTCCAGTTCTGGGCGCCACATTTCAAGAAAGATGTGGAGAAATTGGAAAGGGTACAGAGAAGAGCGACAAGAATGATTAAAGGTCTAGAGAAGCCTATGAAGCCAGGCTTCATGAACTGGGCTTGTTTAGTTTGGAAAAACGAAGATTAAGGGGGGACATGATAGTGGTTTTCAAATATCTAAAAGGGTGTCACAAGGAGGAAGGAGAAAATTTGTTTCTCTTGGTTTCTGAGGACAGGACAAGGAGTAATGGGCTTAAAGTGCAGCAGGGGAGGTTTAGATTGGACATTAGGAAAAAATTCCTAACTGTCAGGGTGGTCAAATATTGGAATAAATTGCCAAGGGAGGTGGTGGAATCTCCCTCTCTGGAGATATTTAAGAACAGGTTAGATAGACATCTGTCAGGGATGGTGTAGACGGAGCTTGGTCCTGCCTTGAGGGCGGGGGGCTGGACTCAATGACCTCTCAAGGTCCCTTCCAGTCCTATGATTCTATGATTCTATGACTTTTTTCGAAAAAACTATACCTGTGTCCAGACTACCACCGTGTTCTGTCAACAGTAAATTGACAGAATGCGGCGGTTTTGTCAATGGCAGTAAACTTCATTTATGTGGAATAATGCCTTTTTTCAAAAGTCATCTTTCGAAAAAAGGCGCTATTGCATGAAAACGGCTTTTTCGAAAGAGAGTGTCTACACTCTCTTTCGAAAAAACAAGATGCTTTTTTGAAAAATCTTCTTATTGGCTAGATGCTCTTTTTTGACAGAGGCTTTTTCGAAAGATACTGCCAAAAAAGCCTCTGTCGAAAAGGGCAGGCAGTCTAGATGTAGCCACAGACAGACATATGGATAGATAGATAGGGTATATCTAAACTACATCCCTTTATTGAAAAAGGAATGTAAATTAGACGTATCAAAATTGTACATGAAGCTGGAATTTGAATTTCCTGTGCTTCATTTACATAATGGTGGCCGCGACTTTTTTTCAAAAAGCCGCTTTTCAAAAAAAAAAATGCGGTCAAGACGGGGATCTTTCAACAGAAATGGCCCATTTTGAAAGATCCTGTAACCCTCAAAAAAATGAGGATTACAGGATCTTTCAAAACGGGGCATTTTTGTCAAAGGATCCCAGTCTTGACCTCAGGTTTTTTCGAAATGCGGCCACCATTATGTAAATGAAGCACGGGAAATTCAAATCCCAGATTCATGTACAATTTCAATACATCTAATTTACATCCCTTTTTCGATAACGGGATGTAGTTTAGACGTACTAGATAGATAGATAGATAGATAGATAGATAGATAGATAGATAGATAGATATTATTATGGTATATGATATATGTTATATATACTGAAAGAATCACTCAATTAATCTTGTTTGTGAAATTAATTTAGAAATTTTCATCTTGGTTACTAGTTAGACTAAATTCTGAGGTCATACTTTTCACTACTAATTCATGTAATCGTATATAAATAGTCCAAATGGCTTCACATGCCTCTATTTGCAAACATTCATTGTGATATCTGTTTCCCTTCCTGACTCAGATTCAGGAGAATATAGATTTAGTAGCTGAGAATGTTTACTCTGATAGCATGTTTTAATCTCAGTTTGCTCATATGTTGGGTCATATGTCTAGGATCTCTCTCTCTCTCTTTCTCGCCTGGCCTATCGGTATGCTTCAACACCCAGGGTACGTCTAGACTACAGGGTTTTGTTGACAGAAGGTTTGTAGACAGATACTGTCGACAAAGCTTCTGTCGACAAAGAGCGTCTAGACTACATTCAGTTCTGTCAACAAAGCAAGCTGCTTTGTCGACAAAACCCTGTAGTCTAGACACAACCCTACATGCAATAACACCTTCTGTCGACAGAACTCTGTCGACAGAAGGCGTTATGCCTCGTAAAATGAGGTTTACCAGCGTCGACAAAACTGCTGAGTTCTGTCGACATTATGTCGACAGAACTCAGTGATAGTGTAGACGCAGGTATAGTTTTGTCGACAAAAGTCCACTTTTGTCGACAAAACTCTGTAGTCTAGACACACCCCCAGATTGCTGTAGTTTCTGATGCAAACCTGGATGTCTACTTTAGTCTTTTTTCCTATTAAAGGGATGCTCCCGCAGGGAATCGTCCTTAGTCTGCAGAAGAGAAGAGTGTGTGGGGGGGGGGGCGTTGATAGGAGCCTTCGACTTCCTGAAGGGAGGTTTCAAACAGTTACACCCACGAGGAGCCTGGCCCAGTGACTCCAATGGAGCCACGGCTCATTTACACCCTCTGGGGCTCTGGCCCATTAGCTCTCGGGGGCAGTGGGGTGGAGTTTTACTGCAGGAGGGAGGGGCTGTCAGACCCCTGGGACCCAGCCCTCACTCTGGGAGGGGTGTGGCAAAGTGGGACCCAGTGTGTTGGAGCCAAGGTGTTCAAGTTCAAAGCAAGCAGGGGCCCGCATATTGTCCAGTCTCAGGTCAGGCAGCTCTGCTGTTCCATCCCCCTTGGGCTGTGTCTGACTCTCCATTCACACAAATTAATTTCTGTCTCCCCACAGATTCCCCCGGGAGGTGTAATAGGTCAGGACAGAGATACAGCAAATTCCGGATTCGCTGGTGAGCTGTCCTGACCGGTCTCCTGCTCCATCAGTGACGATACACGTTCAGCTGAGTGTGTTTTCGTGGGCTCCCTCAGGGGATCGTACCAGCTCTGCCCAGGGGGCTAGCGGAACAGACCTCACCAGAGTCCCCAGTGACCATGGGCTCCCATAAGATACGAAGGCACTTCAGTCAGGTTTAGTGTCGAACAAAGTACAGTAAGAGGTGGTGTTAGCCCGATGGCCTGGGAGCCCCTACGCTTGTGAACCCAGGACAATGGACACAGCTCAGTCGATAGTGTGGACTCACTATTGCCCCCAGTCCGGCCACAGGGTTACGTCGAGGTGCCCCATATTTATAGACAGAGATACTCAATCTACATACGTATCATCCCACGCGTTGGTACCTCCCCTTGGACTTTCCTCCAAAGCCGTCCCTGCTGTTGTTACATGAGAATGACCAGACGGGGTCAGACCACAGGTCCATCCAGCCCAGTATCCTGTCTGCCCTCAGTGGCCAATGCCAGGTGCCCCAGAGGGCAGGGACACCACAGGGAATCCTCACGCGATCCCTCCCGGTCACCCTGTCCTCGTTGTTTTACACTGTTTTATCATGTGCTCAGCTGGGTGCCCCGGTGGCAGGTTCTTACGTACTTCCTGTGCTGTTAGCAGGGCCAGCCGTTCTAGTGCCGAGAGACACGGACTTGCAGGCAGACCTCTGCCTTTCACACGGCCTGTCTGTCACTCAGAGTATAACTCTGGGTGTCCTTGGTTCAAGCACCAGGCTCAGTCTGTCTCCTGCTGGAGGATGTTCCAGGCGCTCCTCCTGCTGGCCTGAGATCTGCTCGTCCCCGTCCCTGGCCAGGACAGAGTGCGGGGACTACTGGGCCAGGACAGGAAGGAGCAGGGGCTGGGGGTGATGGGTGCTGCCCTGGCAGTGGCAAAGCAGGGGATCTAAGCACACAAATGCAATGTCTCCTCGTTTTGAAAACAGATATGCATGTGACAGTCTCTGGACACCCCCGTCTTGCTGGATGGCCGAGAAGGTGGGCGCAGCATGTTGGGTCACAGGGGGAACTCACATTGATCCAAGGACCATCTGCAAACACAGCAAAGACACCCACACCCACACACACGCAAACACACACCTCTCTGAGCTATAGCTGTAGCATCTGTAACTATTCATATTACAGCGACCCCGACAGATCACACAAAATGCCATGTGGAGCCAGCACCCCCTGGAGGAGTAGGGTCCATGCCCATGACGCCTTCTCTCCCACCAGTCCCGGCGGATGGAGGTCACCGCAGAGCCCCCTAACGCTCCCCCAGCAGGGTCCTCCTCAGAGCCTCCTTCATCTCCTTGTTCCTCAGGCTGTAGATCAGCGGGTTGAGCAGCGGGGTCCCCACTGTGTAGAACAGCGTCACCACCTTCCCGCTGGTCCCGGAGGCCGTCGGGATGACGTAGGTGACCATGATGGAGCCCCAGAAGAGGCCCACAACAGCCAGGTGTGAGGTGCAGGTGGAGAAGGCCTTGTGCCGCCCGGCCCCTGAGGGCAGCCTCAGCACGGCCCTGATAACGAGCCCGTAGGAGGCCAGGATGGAGAGGAAAGTGGTGACGATCATGAGGGAGCTCATGGTGGAGTAGAATTGTTCAGTCCGGGGAGCCGGGGAGCAGGTGGCCGCCCACAATGGGGCCGGGTCACAGACAAAATGGTCCAGGGTGTAGGGGCTGCAGAAGGAGAGCCGGGACATGAGGCTGATGGGCACTATGTACCACAGGAAGCCAGTGAGCCAGCAGGAGGCGACCATGGTCCAGCAGAGTGGAGGGGACATGAGGACAGGGTAGCGCAGGGGCTGACATGGCTGCGAGGAAAAAGCTGTCGGTGGTTCCCAGGGAAAAGAAGAAGTAGAACTGCAGGAAGCAGGCGTGGAAGGAGATGGGGAGGCCGGGGCGCAGCAGGTCACAGAGCATCCGTGGCACAGTGGATGTGACGAAGCAGATCTCCAGACAGGAGAAGTTCCCCAGCAGGATGTACATGGGCAGGCGCTGGAGGCGGGGGTCCCGCAGCACGGCCCACACGATGCAGAAGTTCCCCACCACGGTGGCGGCGTAGGCCAAGGAGAGCAGGGCACAGAGGAGCTCCCGGCTCTGCCGGCCCAGGGAGGGGAAACCCAGCAGCAGGAACTGGGTCACTGGGGCGGTGCCATTGGCCGGATTCATTGGGGGGACCTTGGAGGTGATAGAAACGATCAAGGAGACAGCAGGGATCTGCCCACAGACCTGGATGGGGAGGTGTCTTAAGAGCAGCAGGTGACAGCTCTAAAGTCACCGTCCGTCAGACTCTCTGACCCCCCTACCCCCACCCCCACTGCCCTGTATCATGTCTCACACTTGCGTTGGGTTTCTTCCCCCTTGGAAATCTTTCAGGTTAGACAATGTTCCTGCCCTGAGATGTGCAGCCGGCTGTTCTTCCTGCCAGGCTCCCAAGCCCCATCGGTGCCACTCGGCCTCACGGGGGGTGCTCAGAGAAGCTGCATCACGGTCCCTCCTTCCTGGACTTCAAAGCTGAAATGAAATGGCCTAGGTTGGGCTGCGTCTTTAGGCACCTAAGCCTCTTTGGCAGTCTGATCTTAAATTCCTGTGGGAAGTGGGATTAGGCTCCTAAACCACTTACATCCCTTTTGGAAATGGGATTAGGCACAAGAGGCCATTTTATAATTCTCCACTCTGCATTTGGACAGATCCAAGGACAACATTGATCACGGGTTGTCCCTAAGGCCCTGCAGATGGAAAATCGAGATCTGATACAGTAAAATCTGCATTAATGCAATGGTAGGATTAAACTCTACAAACCATCATCACGTGAGAAATGGATGTTTAGAGTCAGTGGGTAATTATGGTATTTATTTATTTAGGGTATGTCTACACTGCCACCCTAGTTCGAACTAGGGTGGCTAATGTAGGCATTCGAAGTTGCAAATGAAGTCCGCGGGCACGGAGTCTGCACTAACGGGGATTTAAAAATGGCGGCACCTGGCAAGATGCAAATGAAGCCCGGGATATTTAAATCCCGGGCTTCATTTGCAACTTCGAATGCCTATATTAGCCTCCCTAGTTCGAATTAGGGTTGCAGTGTAGACATACCCTTATTTATTATTTCATTTTTCTTTAGTGAGGTGACCTCCGGGAGCCCCTGCCACAGCCCAGAACCTCATGGTGCCAGGTGTTGCACAGACACAGAGGAAAAGGATACTGCTTCAGCCTTACCCCCTATATTTTCCAAATAGGATTAAAATGAAAGATTGAGTCCCAGTTCCAATTGAGTATCAGACTCAGAACATAACATTATTCATTGCATTCTGTAGACATTCCTAGACTGGATTGGTATGTGGAGTTCACAGCTATATTATAATTGTATTAATATAAAAAGCTACCCAAGACAGCAATTCATAATATTAATTAAAATAAATGAATAACTGCGTATGCTATGCATTTCTCCCTTCAATTTAAACAAACTGAAATCCCAAATTTATGAATAAATTTTATTTTAATTCTAGAAGTGAATAAAATAATAAGTTAAGAATTAGATATTTTATTCTTTGCTACATCCAATGAAAACTGTTATTTACTAATACTAATAAGTTAGACTTTAGGTCTATTGTATTTTTTTCCCCCTGTGCACGTTAAATTATTATGCTCTTATGTTTATTCCCTGATTACATTAAAACCTTAAATCAGTAAGTACATAAGAAGGTGACTTCCAGATTTTTTAGAACTGTTACATTCATAATTACGTAGTATACGAATTCCTAGTACTCTTGCAATAATAAATGAGGATATATTCCAGTATTTCATTAACAATTTGGGAATTCAGTATTACTTTTCTCCACATTTGATTAAAATATTAAATTAATGAATGCATTTTGTAATATTTTCTGGATTAGATTAATAAACTAACTTCATAATGATATACTGTATTTTCTAGACATGGTGAAAATATTAAGCTAGTATGTATATAAATGTTTCAATATCATTAAATATTCAATTAATAATTACACATATTTAGATTTGATAAAAATATTACATTTGTGTTCTTTTTTTTTAACATTTAGCATCAACTCAAATATTGAGCTAATAATTCTATACTGGAAAAATTTCCAGCCTTGGTTAAATATTGGGTTAAGAGCACTGTGTATTGTATTAATTTCTGGGTTAAAATCAATTTGTAAGATTCAAAAAGAGAGACTTGATTCCACTAGGCAGCTGGTTTAAGGAAAGTGCCCCAAGGATCGGTTCTAGGACTGGTTTTGTTCAACATCATGAATGCCCTGACTGAGGGGCTGGATTTCACCCTCAGCAAGTTTGTGGATGACACTAAGCTAGGGGGAGAGGTAGATACATTGGAGGGCAGGGATAGGGTACAGGGTGACCGAGACACATTGGAGGGTTGGGCCAAAAGAAATCTGATGAGGTTCAACAAGGACAAGTGCAGAGTCCTGCACTTGGGACAGAAGAATCCCAAGCATTGCTACAGGCTGGGGACCGACTGGCTAAGCAACAGTTCAGCAGAAAAGGGCCTGGAGGTTACAGCGGATGAGAAGCTGGAGACAAGTCAACAGTGTGTCCTTGTAGCCATGAAGGCTAATGGCATATTAGGGGGCATTAGGAGGAGCATTGCCAGCAGATCTAGAGATGTGATTATTCCCCTTTATTCGGTGCTGGAAAGGCCACATCCAGAGTATCCACATCCAGTTCTGCCCCCCCCCCCCACTATAGAAACGATGTGGGAGCACTGGAGAGGGTCCAGTGGGGGGCAACCAAAATGATTCAGGGGCTGGAGCACATGACCGACGAGGAGAGGCTGAGGGATTTGGGTCTGTTTAGTCTGGAGAAGAGAAGAGTGAGGGGGGATTTGAGAGCAGCCTGCAACTCCCTGAAGGAAGGTTCCAAAGAGGATGGAGAGAGGCTGTTCTCAGCGGGGGCAGGTGGCAGAACAAGGAGCAATGGGCTCAGGTTGCAGTGGGGGAGGTCCAGGTTGAGTAGTCAGCAAGACTCACCAACAGGACTATACCCTGAAGCATGCACATGGGAACGTGGACCATGGAACTGGCTGGGCCCTGCCTCCCTCCAGCCCCAGCAGCTCCTCATCCGTTTCTCTGCCTGGCTCTGAAAACAATCTGACCCTCCTACCTCGCATGGTTAGAAACCTGCAGCTCATGGCCAGCCGGCCCGTGTACCCGGACTGAGCAGGGCTGAGCAGGGCTGAGCAGGGCTGAGCCTGCCCGTGTACCCGGGGCAGGACTGAGCAGGGCTGAGGAAGAAAGGAAGCAAGGATGCTGTGTGTGAACCCACCTGGCCAGGAGGTCGCTCTCCTCTCTGCTGGGAGGGAGCAGGGCGAGGGGCTGATATCTGCTCTGCAGCGCTGGGGCTCTGGGACTCAGAGGTTTGTGGGCACCCAGAGGAGCACCAAGGAGCAGGGCCAGCCCCCCTGCACTGGCCAATCACAGCCAGGGGCCGGCAATGTCCGTGGACTGTGCCGTGCACAGAGCACGTGAACCCACCAGGGCCTGGTGACATGGGCGTGTCTCAGGTCGCTAGCTCTGCCAATCTGGGCTGGAGCCTAGAGGAGCTGAGGGACCCTCAGGAGTGATGAGGCCCCTGGGTGAGGAGACCCCCTGAATCCATCAGCACCCCTTTTAGGGCAGCAGTGGCAGCGCCTGCTCAGGGCAGAGGGGCTAGATGTGATGAGCCGTGAACCCACCAGGGCCTGGTGACATGGGCGTGTCTCAGGTCGCTAGCTCTGCCAATCTGGGCTGGAGCCTAGAGGAGCTGAGGGACCCTCAGGAGTGATGAGGCCCCTGGGTGAGGAGACCCCCTGAATCCATCAGCACCCCTTTTAGGGCAGCAGTGGCAGCGCCTGCTCAGGGCAGAGGGGCTAGATGTGATGAGCGGGTTGGTTCTCAGCACAGCTGGGCCCTGTGAACCTGAGACTCTGGAGCTCTGCCCATTGCCAGA